TTAGCAATTGCAGAATGACCACTGTCTACTAAGGAACTGAGAATCAAGGTTCCAGAGAGGTAGCTCACACCTTGAAAGCCATTAGTGCATTAAGATTTGTAAAGCATTCCCAAATAGCTGCTTTAGTATTTACCTTGCAACAATCTGTGGAGGTAAATATTGTCATCCACAATTTAGAGTTGGAGAAACTAGGACACAGAGAGGTTTGGCATTTAGCCAAGTTTACCAAACTAGGAAGTCATATGTGCTCTTGGAACCCTGAGTTTTCAATATCATGAATTAGTGTCAAACTCTTTACTGTCAGGTGTGGCCAGCCTGAAGAGCCAGAATCATTACCTCCAAGTTGGGACCTCAGAACCGTGGGCCCCAGTGCCCACCCGCACATGCACTCCTGTTCCTTTTGGTTCTAAGTCCAAGATGGCCAGTCTCAAGGACCAACTGACTGTGAATCTCCTTTAGGAAGAGCAGGTCCCCAAGAAGAAGATCATAGTTGTTGGGGTTGGTGCTGTTCGTATGTCCTGTGCCAGTATCTTACTGAAGGGCTTGGCAAGTGAAATTGCTCTTGTGGACATCATGGAAGACAAATTGAAGGGAGAGCCAACAGATCTCCAGCACAGCAGTCATTTCCTTAGAACACCAACAATTGTCTCTGGCAAAGACTATAACATAACTGAAATCTCCAAGCTGGTTGTTATCACAGCTGGGGCACATCAGCAGGAGGGAGCAAGCCATCTTACTTTGGTCCAACACAGCATGAACATCTTTAAGCTCATCATTCTTAATGTTGTAAAGTACAGCCCAAATTGCAAGTTGCTTGTTGTTCCCAACCCAGTAGATGCCTTGACCTATATGGCTTGGAAGATAAGTGGATTTACCAAAAATTGTGTTACTGGAAGTGATTGCAACCTGAAGTTAGCCCGGTTCTTCTACCTGAGCGGGGAAAGGCTGGGAGTTCACCCACTAAGCTGCCGTGGATGGATCCTATGGGAGCATGGAGAGTCCAGTGTGCCCGTGTGGAGTGCGGTGAATGCTGCTGGTGTCTCCCTGAAGAATCTGCCCTGAGTTAGGCACTGATGGGTCTAAGGAGCGTTGGAATGGGGTTCATAAACAGGTGGTTGGCAGTGCTTGCAAAGTGATCAAACTAAAAGGCTACACCTCCTGGGCCACTGGACTGTTTGTGGTGGATTTGGCAAGAAGTGTAATGAAGAATCTTAGAAGGGTACATCCAATCTCTACCATGACTAAGGGACTCTATGGCATAAAGGATGGTGTCTTCCTTAGTGTTCCTTGTGTCCTGGGACAAGGTGGGATCTCAGATGTTGTGAAGGTGACTGATTTCTGAGGAAGAGGCCTGTTTGAAGAAGAGTGTGGAGCCCCTGCGGGAGAGGAGGAGCTGCAGTTTTAAAGTCTTCCAGTGTCCCATGTCACTTTGTAGGTTACAGGAAGGTTTAGTTGGAGGTTGTGCATGTTGTCCTTTTTTCGGATGTGTGGTTGAAGCAGTAGTATTAAGATGGTCTGAGAAAAACATCAGTTTTCTAAAGTTAGAAATAGAAATGGTTCACAAAACCCCACAATTCTATCCTGATGCTGGATGATACTTCACATGTGTACTCCTAAGCCAGTCAGTGTAAAGTAGCCCACCATCTCTGAAACACCATGACCAGTGTCACACAGGCTCCAGTTGCCCTTCAAACACATGTGTGTTACTGTGTTATATGCCTTCACCAACTGAACCTTGTCTGACTCCAGTTGCCCTTCAAACATATGTGTGTTACTGTGTTATATGCCTTCACCAACCAAACCTTGTCTGACTTTTTCCCTAGTGGGTCACAGCCTGGGATCCAGTGTACAAATCCAATACTATATTGCATGTCTTATGCACAACTGTTTTAAAGGCTTTTGTGTATTGCATATCAGTAGTGTGCATTGCCATATGATGTAAAAAGGAAAGATCTACCTGTGAACAGTGTAACCAAGTGTCAGAACAACTACAACACCAAATAAACCTTGAGCAGTGACTACTCTGTTAAAAAAAAAATAAGTATGGCAGACCCAAGTAGCTAACTTGGGAAGCCTGTTATCTCTCTAACACATCCGAAATCCCACTTTTAGCTGTCTGGCTCTAGGAGCCCAACATGAGTAGTTATGCCTCACCCACAAACACATATTCTTATTGGTTTAATTCATTATGTTAAAGTTAAATCCATTCTTTCCTGTTGAACTCCTCAGGTGCTTTAATGTAGCTCTGTGCATTATAAATTTTCATGAAGTGGATAAGGTGGCAGATGACAATATATTTGATACACCTGGTTAAGGAACTTTTGGAAGAGCCAGCTCTTAATACTCCTAAGGGACTGGGATTTTCAGTGGGTTGCAACATCCTAGCCAGTCCTCTTGCTGCCCTCCCACCTCAACTATATTGATCACACATCTGAATTCTAATTTCCACATTTCCATAAAAGAAGTAATTGTATCTTTTTCACTAAAACCCTAATTCCACACTAACTTGGCACTGAAATCCTCTTGCCCATGTAGAAAAGTCTGTCCTTTTTAAAGTCTTTTATCTGTAAAATTCAAGTTGTCCCTTTTGTAAATAGCTCTCGTTGAAAGGAACTATGCAAGAAGCAATTCATTCCTTCCAAAAGAACAATGCCTCTCTTAAGTGTTAAGCCTTTTTCAGAAAATTCGCAGACACTTCCAGAAGAAACTTTCTTTTCATGGATGCTTAAATAATACAACTCAGCACCGAAAGACAAAACCACAGCCTTTATTGCACCTCCACTTCTCTAGGTGACACTGACCCCTTGGGTCTGTTTCCTCTAATGAGAATAAAGATGGGTGAAGAAAGGCACAACCGATCTAGTTGCTCCAGTGCAGCCTGCTGGGATGAGTAATACGATATGAGCTCTTCACTATAAGGAAGGAAAAAGGTTAAGATAGGCAAGGCAAGAATCAAGTTTACAAGGACAGGGACTGTTTTTTCTTCGGATTTTGTGCCATCCTTTTTGTGCATGGCAAGCAGAGCACAAACTGTGACCTTCACAGTAGATGAAAAGTGTCTGTGGGAACATCTAGTCTCCGGTCCTATCTGTACCATGTGTCAGACGCGTGACCTTAGGCAAAGTCTCATAACACCTGGGAGAAAATTGATCATGTAAAGATGCCACCACGAATCCTGAGTATATTAGTGAAATTAGATGGATCCACAGAGAGAGGTGTTGTGAACTGTATAGTGCTTTCCAAGGTATGGCTTCAGAGATGGATGAGAAGTCCAGGAGCTTATGAAGATAAATGTGCCAAACTGCTCAGCCTTTTCTGGCATGCAGACGGAGGGAAAGTGTCCATGGCTCTGTCCAGTCCCTGCCTGGCCATACAGCAGTCCTCCCCTTGGCAAGGACTTGGTGGGATCATCCTGTGCTTATACCCTGAGTCCTTCTGAGAATCTGCAAGTGCTGGTTCCTCTGCACGTATGAAAGTCCCAGGCACTCAGGGGTCTCAGGGCTGTGAACAGGACTGATGTACATGTACCATAGTCACCACTTGCATATTTTCTGACTGGTCAGTGCCTGTGCTGTACTGGTCACAGTTCGAATATGGAGTCTGAGGGGGAGTGTTGCTGCCACCTTCAGACAGGTCTGTGAAAGAAGCATACTCTCCTTGAGTATTGAATCCCCATCACTGCCTAGGAAGAAAAAGCCATGAATCTAAGGCTGAGGCCAGCTTGGCCTTCATGAGCCTTGGGCTCACTGAAAGTTGGTTAGCAAGTGTATGGGGCACCCGAACCCTCAGCCAGCAAGCTGTGTCTCTGCTTGTCATTTAGACATTTTTAGTGCAAAACAGAGGGAAACTCCTTCCACACTCATACTCTTTCCATGATGCCAAGGGCATTCCTTGAAAACACGGAGCATGTTGGACATCTCTGGGTTCAGCCTGTCAGGATGGAAGAGGGGAGCATTTTGCAGGTGTGTTAGTTCACCTCCTTCTGATAAGTTACAAATGGACACTGAGAATTAGAACCGGGCAGAATCTCCAGGCACCGCGAGTCTTAACACCTTGAGTGGAGGAGGGTGAGAGTTGTAACTGAGCCTGACTCCAGCCCTAGTATAAGCCTGCCTGCTCTCAAGTTAGGTGCATCCTGCAGCCTGGCAGTGCCAGACAGTGCTAGGGTGGGGAGTGGGACCTGAAGGCCATAGGCTATTGTGCAGGAATCGGGCAGCCCTGACGTGCCACACCCTGAACATGAAGTGAGAAATCACAAACAAGTTTCTTTTGACAAATGTATTTCTCCTTGCCTTTGTTATTGCTATTGCTAGGTGACCCCTCCCCCTCAGCATTATAATTAAAATCGTCATTTTAGAAATGTGTTTATTTTTTGTTGTAAATAGCTAAGGAGGAGGGGAAAGTGCTCAATTTGGCATCCAGAGACCTGAGTTCCTTGTGTTCATAAGCAGTCTGCGCTTCACTTGCCTTTTCTATAAAATGGGAATAAACTTCCATCTCAGCCATAGTAGGGAATGAAGGTGTTTTAGCCAGCACTGCACACACTTCATACCCAAAAGCAGAGGGGAGCTCTGGGCTGGGCCAGAGCAGAGAGACCGTGCAGGCCATTTGGGATCCAGAAGCCCTGACTTGTTATTCTTACCAAAACTACCATGCTAATTAGAACACTGAGCCATCCCCCTACCAGGAGGGAGGTGTGTGTATTTGTGTATGTGTGTGTTTATACAAGATGAACATGTGTGTAAGCATAGTCTCTGTTCCTGGTTTGAGAGAATGAGAATTCCAAATAATAGAAGGAAGACTTGTTTGGACCATTCCTGGCCCTCTGTCTCTGTTGCTTGAGATGGTGAGGAAATCATACATCCCTTATGTGTTTATACACAATTATAATAAATAAGCACAGTAATGAAAGGAGCACACACACACATACACACACACACAACGCCCTTCCATGCTGGTTCCAGAGTGACTGATGCTCCCTCTTGTCCCTTTCCTGCCAGGTTGGTGGCCACACAATGCTGCCCATTCGCTGGATGCCTCCAGAGAGCATCATGTATAGGAAATTCACCACAGAGAGTGACGTCTGGAGTCTGGGCGTTGTGTTGTGGGAGATCTTCACCTACGGCAAGCAGCCTTGGTACCAACTATCGAACAATGAGGTATGCAGTGGGTCTGGGGAAGAGCCTGGAGCCCAGACTGAAACCTCACAGGCCTCTCCCCAGTGGGGACCGTCTCTGGGCTGTTCAAGGAGCGATCTTGTGCTGCTTTGTTGGGCTCAGAATACTTAATTCTCTGTGTACCTGGAAGCCTACTGTGTACCTAAAGCTCATAGCTGAAGTGTACTAATGACTACATTAGGAGCTTTGAAGGAAGGAAAACCCAGTGTTACAGCTTTGCTTTTCTAAAAATGGAACTGAGTAATCATTTGCATTGTTCATCTGGTAAATTTAAAACACATAGAGCATGCCAGCACCCTTAGAGTCCAGGGAGATATTTCTCGTTGTTCCAGTGAACTTTCAAAATTCTTTCCTTTTTGTACGTTTCTCTAGAACATTACTAGTGAAAAGATCAAGTATTGTGTGTTCTTCCATCTTTTTGCAATCCATGGGAGAATGATTTCAGGATTTACCAGATATCAAAATGTAAAATGTTCAGATCTCTTGTAGATAATGGTATAGTATTTGTGTATAATCTATGTATATCTTCCTATCTACTTTAAAACACCTATAGATTACTTACAATAGCTAATACAAACAAATGTAATATAAACAATCAGTGCACCGTATTAGGGAATAATGACAAGAAAAAAGTCTGTGTATGATCAGTATGGGTGCAGTTATTTTTTGAGTATTCTTGACATGCAGCTGGTTGAATCCACAGATGTGGAACCCACAGGTACAGGGGGCTGACTGTATGTCTAGATTTGAGGATCAGTGTCTTAGACAGGCATTTCACATCTTTTTCAGATCTGTGTCTGTGTCTTTTCAACCCAATTCTGTTATGAGAAATGCCTGCTCATATCTGTAGCCTGGGGTTCCTCATCAATCAGCACCTTAACACACAAGTGACTTAGGTTCCATCTCAGGCCAGTAAAAACTAATACATAGGACTGTCTGAGGTGGAGGGGCACTCTGCATAAAGAAATTATTTCTCCACCAGTTTTGTGACATCAGAGTGTATTGAGAAGTGGATATAAGCCCATCAAAGTAACCAGAATGTAAACCAACCCACAATAATTGTTGTTTTTCCTTTGAGAGAAATAAACAGCAAGTGGACTTCCTTTTTCAAAAGCCTGCTCCCTCTACAGGTTAGAAAGCATCAGGGAAGGGAAGAGGCAGCAATGGGTGACAGGGACCACAGCACAGTCACACAGGAAGTGCTCCAGTGCCCCACACAGCACAGCAGGTTGACTACAGTTCCCAACAATTACATATTCCACGGAGAACCATCAGTTCTCAAAACGACAGCCGACCATCCCCCAGGAGGAGCTGATAGAGACATGCAGTGGAGTAATACTGAGCCATTAACATTAAGGGTATAATTTCATGAACTAGATGAGAGCTGTCGGAAGGCTCTCAGCCCAAAGAAATGATAAAAATGTTGAGGTAGATGTAAATGCTAATTACTCTGATTTGATCACTACCATTGTGCATATGTATCAAATTATCATTTGATACATATACATTTGATACATATGATACATTTGATACATATCATTTGATACATACATATACAAAACAAATAAGTACACTTACTATAGTGATTTTATTTTATTTATTTATTTATTTTGGTTTTTCTCCGGTACCAGGAACCGAACTCACGACCTTGCGCTTGCCAGGCAGGTGCTTTGCCACTGAGCTAAATCCCCAGCCCCTACTATAGTGATTTTAAAAGGAAAAGCTAAGCAGAAGGAAGAAGGCACCCTCTCTCACTCCTTTGGGCCCAGCACATGCTGGCCCAGCATGCTCTCCCTCCTGTCTGACCCTTCTCTGCTCTTCTAGGTGATCGAGTGCATCACGCAGGGCCGAGTCCTTCAGCGACCCCGCACGTGCCCTCAGGAGGTGTATGAGCTGATGCTGGGGTGCTGGCAGCGGGAACCCCACATGAGAAAGAACATCAAGGGCATCCACACCCTCCTTCAAAACTTGGCCAAGGCGTCTCCGGTCTATCTGGACATTCTCGGCTAGGACCCTCTCCCCAGACCTACCCTTCCCAACACACTCCTCAGACGGACGAGAGGATGAACATCTTTTCCTGCCGCTGGATGCCACGAGGCTGCCGCGTTGACAGGCAGCTCCGGCGGTATTAAGAAGCCCCGGTGACGCTCTCAGACTGAAGCAGTGTGGACTTCTCCACCCACAGATGCAGTACTGACTTCTTTCTGGCATCGTCTCTTTCTCTCTTCCCATCTTCCTTGGTTTGTTTCTTTCTTTTTCTTTTCTAGTTTTCATTTTTTGTTTGTTTGGTTTTGGTTCTCTGCTTCACAGCCCTTCCTTCTCTTTTTAATCAATCTGGCTTCTGCATTACTATTAACTCTGCATAGACAAAGGCCTTAAAAAACCTAATTTGTTATATCAGCAGACGCTCCAGTTTGCCCACCATAACTAACAATGCCTTGTTGTATTCCTGCCTTTGACGTGGATGAAAAAAGGGAAACAAATATTTGACTTAAACTTTGTCACTTCTGCTGTACAGACATCGAGAGTTTGTATGGATTCACTTCTATTTATTTATTAATTATTATTATTATTACTCTTCATATTGTTTTTGGATGGTTTAAGCCTGTGTGGCTTAAGGAAGACTTGTGTTCAATCTGGGAAAACTTTATCTGTGGGAGATTAAACCAGAGAGAGAGAAGATTTATTATAAACTTCAGGAGAAATGGGAGAAACAAAGGCAACCACTGGGATCCGCCGGTGTCAGCTGATACTTAGAACAAACCCGGCAACTGTCAGCTGGAGGAATGCAACTGGCACCTTCCCCCAAGGACCTTCTGAGGCGTACACAGACTGGCAGACTCTGTGCAGTGGATTTTTCTTCTCCCATCTCCAGACACACTAGCGTGCAGCAGAGATAAAATGTGACTTCTAGGGGCACAGGACAGTGTGTCATGTGCTCAGATGCAGTCTTGTCTTGGTTGTCATGGTGACAGTGCTGGGGTCTTTTTCAAGTATTTTGGACCAAGCCTTTGTCAAGTCCAGTTGAAAAGAGGCAGATTCTGGTCCAGAGATCATTTCAGGGTCAGGTTGGAAATCAAGGACTTGGAAAAATAAGACAAGCTCTCAATTTGGAGCCAAGTTTCTCTTATATTGAACTTTTCAGACAGCAAGCACCTCCTCTGACCCCTACCCTCCACTCCCACCTGTCCTTTTAACTGTGCAAGCAAAATTGTGCATGGTCTTCATCGATTAATATCCTATGTGCAGAAACTAACACTCCAGACGTCGTGACCCTGATAGGTAGAGCAGATCCATAAAAGGTATAATTTATATGATTAAGCAGTGCTAATGGCATTCATTAGCTGAGAATAAAAGTCTGGGCGTGGTACAGTTGGTGGCGATGGGTTTTACCGAATATGGCCCTGAACCCTGGATATCTTCATTCACATGGAGCCCCCAGGACTCTGGGACAGGCAGGATCAATTTGTAAGGGAAGAGAAACCTCACTGGGCACATCACATGCATTCATGTTCAGTGTACACAGGCCAAGTCTCTTGCTCTAGGCCCTGGTTGGGAGAGCGGTTTCATTCCAAGTATATTCCACTGTCAGTATGCTGTTTTGTTTTGTTTTGTTCTTTTTACATCATTAAACAAGAGAAAAAAGAAAACTTAAAAGTTGGCACAAGATGCCATGGGAGGCTGTGTCCAGACTGAGATTAGAGGTGTGCTGTTGGGCATGGTTCTTAGTCTTGAGGAAAGAGAGACTAGGAATTTACAGTTAGAGAGTCAGTCATGCCAAGGAGAAAAGTATTTCTATTCCTAAAGAGAATGCGCTACCCTCCGTGAGGGAAACTTTGCTGGCCCTGACATCTTTATAGTGTTAGCCAGATTGGAAGGGAGTGATCTTAATCCATCTTAGGTTATTTCATTTGCTATTTGTTTCTGAAGGTGCAGGAGCACCACTTAGGTTTTGCTTATTCCCATTAAATACTGGAGCACTTTGTTTTTCTTTATAGGCTATGAAAACCAGTACTGAAAACTCAAAAGTATAAATTAGCAAGAACAAAATGAAATCCAGTAGCATCTGTGGCCAAGTGAAGGGGTTGCATAAGACGAACCATACAGTCCCTTCAGACTCTGCACTGGCCCAGTAGAGATGGGAGCTGAGGTATTTTTTCTCTTTGCCAGTGAAAACAAACCCCTCCAGAACACACATAATAATATAATGAAAGCCATATCTCCATGATATATGCATGCACGTGTATATCATATTAAGGACCCACGGTACTGTTACAACACTGTGGAGCTCTATGAAACAGTAAGAATAGGCAGATTTGTACAGACTCTTCTAGGTTTCATCACAGACAACCTGAAAATATACACAGGTTTGTGTGTTTGGCCAGCTTCTCTGGGAGAAAAAGTTGCCAGTTATTTCTTATTTTAACTGAGAACAAAGGAGATAATACTTAAAGGGATCTTCTAGTTCAAGGAGGGTGGTGCAGTTTCAGGGCAAACATTTGTTGAAAGCAGATCAGAAGATAGGAGTGTTCTGTTCCAGTTGTGTTTTCCTCAGAAGGAAAATAGCAAAAAATGAAAATAAAAAATTTTCCTTATACCTTCTGACAAGTCCCTCAAGGTCTTGAAATGAAAGGTACTATGCAAGTGCAAAGTTTTATAGCTATTTATATTGATTGTTACTACTACCTTCATTAGTCCCTATGTCGTCTCAAGAGTATGTGCTGACTTTAGAGATGTCTTGCTCTGAACGAACATTGGCTTGCTTTTAAGAGTTGAATGAGCCACAGAATATCTTGAAACACTTGTTGCCGTTCTTCTACCACCTCTTTTTCTATGGTTTTATAAATTTTAGCCAAGCAGCGTCTTCATTCTATATGTAACAATCACCAAGGATGGCCTGTCATCAAACACCTTAACAGCTCCAATAATAGCAGTGACAAAGCTGATCCGTCAAGCCCAGTCTGGCAGCCACGTCCACTCATAAGTTGTTCTAACTGCTTTTGAAGTGCTTTCCCCATGTGTTCACAAATTATCTCTATGCTTCCTAGGTGAGGAAATTGAGACTCAGAGACTCAGAGGCAGGCCAGAAATCTCCAACCTGACATCTGGCACCAGTAGGGCTTCATCCACATACTCCAATTATATAAGTCTATGATTCTGTCCACTCAAGACACTTATATACAAACGAGCAGTTCAGAAAATAAAGTACAGTAACTAATTCATGAACAGGGTAGGAAGGTAGAAGAATGAAAGGCAATACATAAGATGGCAAGCGGCTGAGATATTGTGATATATAATCGTGCTCTTAGCTTCAGCTACATCCTTGTACACTGAACTGGTGTCATAATCGGGCTTACTTACAAAACACTTTGAACTATGCTATCAAGGGTTATTTCAGGATTCATATTATACATGTGTTCACATCAGTGTTATCTGTGGTATTTTCATGTATTTTATATATGTGTTATATACTTTATTTATACATATACAAATGCACATACATACATAATGTGTGTGTTTATGTATAAATATATAGGCACACAGTAATAGAGATAATTATAAGTAGGGTGCAGCATTAATAATTTGCTTAAAACTGCTAAATAACCAAAACCCATCAATGTCCCATTGCAGTTAGAGCTTCCATTCTCCATGTGGGTAAGACATCGCACTCTTCAACTCTGTGCAGTACTGCAAGGATGGAAACAGATGTAAGATAATGTGCTTCCCCAAACATCAGAAAAAAAGTCATCCCCCTGGGCATCCATTCTTTGGCTCCTTGAAAGGAGAATGCAGACTGAAATAGAGATCATTATGTAAAGGTCTAGGAAGGGAAAATTAATTTTTTTGGTCCTTTTACACATTTATGTTAAGTTCGCCTTGTCCCACTGTGACCATTTACACTTATGTCCAGAGTCAAATCTTGTATCACAGATAAACTGGAATGTTGGAGGCAAGTAAGGAGAAATCCAAGTGATAAGTGAGATAAGCAAGTATTGAGAATGTCCTCATCCATGTTCAAATATACTAAGCAATGGTATAAAGTACTGTATTTTGCAAAGCCTCAGACAAGAGGATTCCTTGGTCAATAATGGACATTTTTTAACCTTTCGTTTTGCAAATTGGGCAGCCTATAATATCAACAATATTAAATTGTGTCTAATTTTTAAAAGTACAGCATATACACATAGTCCCTTGATTCTCTTGACCCCCCATCACTTTTTCTCACTTGCTTGAGGACTTTATTTCTAGTATTGGCCTTTGGTTTGGCCCTATAACACTTTGAAATCTCATGAGAGGAATGGCTGGCAACCCAGCTTCCTGAATATCTAAATTCACAGCAATAGGATTCTTCACAATGTGTAACTGGGTTACAGAGACTCAGGTTGTGAAAGCTTGTAAATGAATTTCAAATGTTATTCTAAAGAACTGGAGGTGGGAGGATTATAGTTAAAAATGACAGTGCAGGAAAGGGTATTTTCTTGTTGTCAGGACTGGAATGAATCACTGCTGCTCAAGTCAAAGGTTCTTAAACATACTTAGTTTTTCCATTCCTCCCTCTTTCTTTTCCTTTGACGTCTATTTATTTATTTAACTATTTACTTATTTATTTATTTATTCACACACTTGCTCCATTCATCACAAACACAAAGCAAAGCAAAAAAAAAAAAAAAAAAAAAAAAAAAAAAAAAAAAAAA